TTTATCTTTCAACTTCTGATTTTTTTCTTTGATATATTAGTACATCAAGGGCATAAAAATGCTTTGATGTAATAAATGAAAAATTGGATGGAAAATATGGAAGTTCTATTAATTATTCTTAAAATATAATTGGTTTATCCTTACACTGGTCAATACAAAAGTTAGTGAAACGTTTAAGGAACTTTGGATACTCCCTTTTATAAACAGCACGTAGAACAGATGCTGGAGCCCATCCACCAGGATTAACTGTATTCAAAAAAAGATAATGTTACAGATATAATAGAATATTACTATATCAATATACACAGATTAAATATATAAATGATATAGTACAAACCAACAGAACAATAAGTTATTTTACAAGTTATATTCTCTCTTTTTATTTCATCTTCATCTTTCGGAGGATCAATAAAAGTCTGACACACAAGGCAAACAGTTAGATAAACCCTTACACATTTTCCAGTGTTTGGCTGTAAATATTTCATGTCTATATAAATATTTCATGTTATATATAAGTATATATAATTAAATTATATAAAATCTTACAGGATAATCAGGATGTTCTGTACTATGATTACAAACTATCCATAAATCATGTGCATCTGGATCTTGATCATCGGAGACTCGGCGCATATGTGACCAAAATAATGCGTCTCTCTGACTTGCTGGCCAAATTCGCTTATGCGTTTGTAAAAATATTAAAGTATCTTTGGAAATATTTTCAACCACAGTCATATCTTCAAGGGTAGCTTCCCATCCTGTCCTATACTCAGGGCTGAAGAATATTTCACAAACTTCATGACCAGTAACTCCTTTCACAACATGACAAGCTTTCAAAGGATCTACCACTAAACCATCCGCTTCCTCTTCGCGTCTGTACATTCGCATATCACCATCTTCAGCAAATAATTGCCATCCACCGGCTCCTACTCCAAGACGCGCATAATGCAACTGTTCCATCGTTATTTTTTGTATCTAAAAATTATTATAATATTGTAATATAGATATGGCAAACTTTAAAAATAAATAATTACCTCTGGCCAAAGTCTGTGTTTAACTGCTGACATTATCGGAGTAGTTAAAATTGAAACTGATTTTTGTTTCAAACGATCTCTTAGTTGATTTTCTTCATCAATTTTATCTAATCCAGTCTCTACTGCATCATAGAATTCTTCATCACAAAGAGCACTATGTGGACCTTCCTTAAACATTAAAATTTTTTTTACTATGTTATGTTTTTTTAAAGATATTTTGTTAATTTATAAAATCGAACCTCATAATCTGGACCTCCATGAATAAGAACTCTAGGTCTAGGAAAGTCACTTTGTTGCATTGTAACTTGTTCTTTCAAAGCTTTGTAAAGTTCTTGCACTTTTCGTTTTCTCTCGATTTCTTTTTCCCATCTACGACGCCATGCATCTTCTCGTTGCACCATTAATTCAACACAGTGCTGTAATGTTGCTAGCACACCTTCACTCGTTGCTTTAAATGTTATTGCTTCACCTTTAAAGTCCACAGACTGTTCAGCTGGATTAAACATTGTCTCCACTTTATTTTCTGAAACAATTTTCCCATTCAATTAAAAGCAAAGAAAAAAAAGTACTTATTTAAAAAATAAAAGAGGACATGAAACAACTGAATACATAACAAATGAATCTACACAAATGGAAATTATTAATTTATATACCTTTCGTGGAAATATTTTTAGCATTTTCTGCACAATTATCAAAATATTTCTGCAAAGTATCAATTTGTTTGATCAGAATATCTCTGAAAGTTTCAAGTTCTGCTAACTTCTCTTTTAGTCCTCTAACTCCACGTTTAGTGAAGCTACCTGCACTTGTAATAGATTGTGTATTTGATATAAGTGAAATAGCACTACCGTGTCGCTTCAAACTGTTTTCACTTCCATAACCTGATTCCGACTGTTTAAAGCAAACATATATATTTTTTAATAGAACAAAGGAACATTTATTAGATTTATCTAATAACTTACTTAATTTATATAATAAAATTTTAGTACCTTATAAGATTTCAAAACATCCACCCAACGCTGCTTTTCTTCTGGATTACTTGCTCTCAAATACCATACTAAGCAATCGTTTACAGACACATCGAATCTACATTCATCAAATTCGTGAGCCTAATAAAACAAATAGCATAGAGTAATATCATGAGTTTTTTACCAATTTTATCAGAGAATTAAATCTTATAGGAGACTGATTCCTTTATACCAATTCATACCTTAATATTAGCTTTATACAAGCTTATTGAACCTCGACATCCAAATCCACTGTCCTGCTCAGATTTGTAATAAGATAAAGTACCATCTTTGAGAACAATAAATCTAGTTTGCCAGCCATGTATATAATTTGTCCATTTGGATAATGTACCCTGAAGTTCTGGAACCACAACTCCATCTGAACCTTCTTCATCTACATCATCAGCATCTATCTCTCCTTCCATACATTCAATATCGTCGTTGGCAAGTCGAATCGTTTCTGTTTCATCGGCCATTCTTGCGAGTAAATCTCACTTTCAGAATCAATTACTTTTAAAATAAACTTAACATATCCAAATAATATCTTTAAAGTTACTCTAACGCGGGATAATCTATCGATAGTTATTCTACAGTTACAGTAATTTGAAAATTGCGAAGTAATTAACCAGTAATTGTTCACAAAATAAGTTTCAGAACATATTGATCGTTAATAATCATACGTATTGTTATATAAAATGTCTTATCAAATAAATGAGACATCAACAGCTTGTATTTTTCGGCAAATAACAAGACTAAGTGCCAAATAAGAAAATCAACAGTTTTATTTAAGCAGTATTTTCATGAATGTTATATGTGAGCTATAATCTTTCTTGATTGGTCATATTGTTGAAAATTAAATATTTTTAACATTCCTTAAACATTAATTATTATCTTTTTAAGCTATATAAACAATATTTTTCTTCAACTAATAATGGATAAGTAAGAAATATTTGAAATCCAATGTGATTCCGTTACTTTTTTAATAATAACAATTAAATTAACACAGTTCGATTAAAAGTAACGAATATCGATTTAAAGCATCGATAATTATCGAAGTATGTATATACTTGGTTTAAAAGTTATTTAGTAACGAATAGATTGGTGTAAATCCATATGAATGATGTAAACAAATCACGATTAAATTTGTATCCTTTAACTATTTATACAAAAATGATGTTGTCAAAGTTGTCTAGTTATGTAATTTATGTACATGTCATACATTCAGTTATTTGATATACATATGTACATAGTCTCAAGTAATAATGTAAAGAAATAGTAACAGGGATTCGTCATATCCTATTCCTTTATACAGTTGAACTGTTTTGCAATATAAAGGGAGGGTTTTATGTAATTTTTACATTATTTATTCTCAAAAATAAATAATATTTACTAATTATAAGATTATATGAACGTAAGATGTAATCTATAAATAAATAATTATTAACGAATAAGCATAATTTGTATACTTATAATCTAAACTAAGCATAATGATGAAGAACGCGCGTATGTAAATTATTTATAAATAATATTTATTATAAAATTAGATGTACAGAAAGGGGGGACAGTCGAATTTCTCATATTTGTATAGAAAAAAGTTTCTGTTGAATGACTTAGGATAAGTATATGATTAATGTTTTTTTGTAGTTTTAAGTAATTTTTCATATTTGCTTTTACTAGAATACCATAATGCAAAAGGAATAGCTAATGAAGGTAATGTCATCACAGCAAATGCAGCCCAGTCAACCTAAAATGATACATAAGTATTTTATATTTTATTACAATCAATACAATGCTTATATTGACTTACATAATATTCAGTAGTTACTTACAACATGTGAAGAAAATTGTTTATCATAATCTCTAAATGATACAATTATTGCTTCACCAGGTTCACTACTTGCGGCAAATTGTAAGTAAGGAGCATCTTCTTTGCGTTTATATAAAACTTCGGCTGATGTGAAGTTAAAGTATCCAAATTTACGTGGCCTTACAACAACTATATGACTGACATTTGTATAGGGTGGAACACGATCTATCCTTGCATTTAATTCTCCACTGATATGAGTGAAATGATCAGGATGGAAAGAATTATCTGTAATTTCAACTTCTAATGCAGCTGCGCTGCCAACGTTATACACTGTATACTATAAATGATAAATTCTCTATTAAGATAAAAATATTACATATACATAAACCATATTTATTTTTATACTTACTTTAATTACAATGTCCATATTTTCTACAAGGTATTTATTAAGTAGTTGTTTAGATATCAATAATCTTGCAGCTTCTTCTTCTTCCTCTGCATATGTAGTAAGAAGAAAAGCAGCAAATGCTATGAATATGATATGCCACTTCATGCTAGGATATTAACATTGAAAAGAACATTATTATTACTAAAAATTACATTGTTTACATTGATTAAATTCAATGTGTGTGTGTGTGTGTGTGTGTGTGTGTCACATTTCTAATTTATATTCTATCAACAGATATAAAATCTATACATAAAATTATACAAATATATAAATAAATGACTTTAATGATCATAATTGATGATTCTTTTGTACAAAATTTATTGTAGTTATTAAATTACTTATTATAATTCGTAAAAAGTAGAAAGTTTTATATATTTCATTCATAAAAAGCCAGTAATTTACATTATTTAAAAGAGTAAAATATTATAGTTATTCATTATTGAAATATTCTAAACAAAAATAGCAAAGTTTTCTATTACATTTACAAAAGTCTCATGATTATAATGAATAGTTCCATAAGTTTTATGTATACAATAAAAATTGTTACCTTTTTGTACGATAGAACGTCATGTCACTCAAGACAGCGAAACGATTATTTCACTCGATCTGGAAGATACATTTGAGAGAAGTGCCAACAGTACACACTTTGATGCCACGTTTCGTCAAGGGAAAACACAGTCTGCTAGCAATTAACTTCCGGTATAGAGTGTTTAATAAAATGGCGGTGAAAATAAATTAATGTCTTGTGTTGTGTTTATTGTGTTTATACAAAAATTTTGTTGATGTAGAAAAAAGATTTTATTCATTTATAATATCATATGTAAAATATTAATAAGAATATAGAAATTGTATCAAATATCTGAGGCGTATCGTAAAACAGCAAAATATTACTTTCAGATGATTAAATTGATTTAATTTGAGAATTTTGTACAATATTTGTATATACTTATACATATATAATACTTAAACTTAATATTAATAAAATATTTTAAATAATGACTGCAAAAGTGTATCAACTAGATCAAGAACTAGAAGCGAGAGTTAAGAAAGGTTATGATTCTATATATACTACATGTGTATATCTTTGTCATGAATATATTTTGGTTGTTTCTGACACCTTATTTTTTTAATATTCTAGCAACTGAGCGTATATCTGAAAATATGCATATAGTTGCAAATGAACCATCTCTTGCGTTTTATAGACTTCAGGAACATATAAGGAAAGTATTACCTCCTATGATGGAGAAACGAGTAGAAGTGCTTGATCTTCAACAGCAACTTTTAGGTAGATGTTTTGATGTAGAGTATGCTGTAAGTGCTATTGATGCAATGAATGGTGCTGGAAAGAGTTTTGGAAACACTTTAGAATTCTTCAAGAATGCTATTTTTCTTAAACAACAATTGAACTATGAGGAACAACGAAGGCACAAAAAAGATGGAAATAGAGATTCTGTATATAAAAGTTTATCTGTACACATTCCTACATTAGATCATTTACCAAACGAAATATCTGATGTTGTCAGAGGAACTGCTAACAAAGTATGATGAATTATGTTAAATATTCCACATAGATTCAAAAAACAAATTAAATTTGAAATGATAATTAAATGCATTAAAATATAATATTGTTCAGAAATATAAATGTAAATACCGTAAATAATTGATTAGACTACTAACAATTTATATGCCATAAAATAGGTGGGTTAAATAAAATTATTGTTGTTATATTCTGAATAGTTGCATATGTTAACATTTTTGGATATTTAGAATATTTTAATTTACTCTAATTTGTTAATATTTGGCCAATATCGTTTAGAAAAAAAGTGTATAAACAAAAATTATCAGTAGAGATCATTTTAAGTTGTAGACAAAGTCCTATAGATGTCGTTATAATTTGTGTAAGAGAGAATACTGTTAAGAGGTCCAGTATTGGTGTACAGAATGCTAATTAATTTGTGAAATTGTAAAAAAAATATTGAATCATACATATTGGATATGCCAATTATTAAACACTGATATCTACATGAAACGTATTTTATCTTCTAACAAGTTTTACGGTATGTTGATCATTTAGTACCCTCTTTTTCTTTTTCTAGGTTACGTTCGTTTGATATACAATTTTATTTTATTTTTGAAGATAATTTTATTGCTTATTAATAGTTTTATTATATAGTTATAGTGATTTTCTCAAAAATTATCTAGAGTATCTTAAACATTTTCATACTAATATGTGACAAAATGTTCGATTTCTTGATTAAAATATTTTACCACATTGACATAAAGTAGGACACTAATGTTGTACGTCTTAATTATTAAATTATCTGTTCACATATCAATGTGAAACAATTTATTACAATAATTGATATGTATGTGCAAGTGATAATAGAATATTAACTATAAAATAAAACAATTTTATGTAATCTTTTAATTAATGTAAAATTATGACATTCTGGTCATATATATAATAAATATTTTTGTAATGAATAAAATTAAAATCTATACTTATGAATAAATAGTGAAATTAACATATTTATATGATATATATCTTGATATCAATAATAGTTAGGTAACATCAATCGTTTATATCAATAATTATGTAGTTTAATATTTGAAAATACCTATATAATTAATTTATGCATTAAAATTTTGCGAATTACAATTGTGGTATACGTGGTTGTCAATATTAATATTGAGACTTAATTAAGTTAAATATAAATGTTTAATTCTCTGTAGAACTCTTAGTCAATTTATACGGAATTTTCAGACAGATTCTACAGATACGACAAATGAATATGCTATACGCGTTTAGTAAGAGAAATCGTTTAAATACAAATGTACTTCGCGATTATAAGTCAGGTATGCTGCATATCTTGTATAGGCTTCACATTATACTTACTAACTTCTGTATGGCCTTCAATTTTTTGCCTTAATAATAAATGTTTACAGATAGTTTTCCATATGTTATACAATATGATAATGATTTGTATGACAACATCATTGAGATATTTGACGATTCTTCAATTTTCGAAAACGATAATGACTCTCAAATGAAAGTCAGTTGACTAAATGGAACTTTCTTAGATATTGTCTTTCTCTGCATGAAGTTACGTTTACTTATTCGTACAAAAACAAATTATATATTTTTAGTATAAATATTCATTTAATTATTTTAAATAATATATACGATACGTACATAAGTACGTATTAATCGATTATAATTGTGATCACGTAATACGATCCGCTAAATTCGGGTAAGATGACGGAGTTCGATTCTGACGAGGATGGCGTCTTTCTTGAAACGGTGTTGGCTACTTTTGTTGTATTTAAAATAGTTCCGAGAAGGAAGGTTTATGTTTAAAGCCGCTTATAGATCGGTTCCAACTAAAATGTTATTTACTTTTCATTCAAAGGCGATGTACGAAATTTGTAATCATCCTTCGCGTCGATATTTCCAATATGTACACATAAATGGATTTTCCATGGAAGCCAAGTGTTCTAGTTGTCCTTAATTTAGTGTTATTATAACATTCTAATATTGAAATATTAATGTAGACCATTAGACTCTTTATTTACGTTTTTTGTATTCGAAAAAAAATATATATATGTCGGGTTATGGTTACGTATTTTGGGCGCGTAACAACTCTTCACGTGAATTAGCCATTGCTTTACAAAGCCGAGATTATATTTACACGTATATACAAGACTACTACAAAATTTAACAAATAATAAGTCTAATGAATAATAAGTTTAAGGAATAGTGAGTTTAATGAATAGTATGATTTACGAATAATAAGTTTAATGAACGCTATTAACAATGTTCTTGGGTTCAAACGAATCCACGGCCAATGGGATAACTCTTTACTAAGCGTAAACTAATTTTAGGCGTAAAACATGATTGTTGAAATGCTCAATGTGTCACTCCCCAAGGTAATCGCACAAATGCCAGCCTCGTGGGGATTTTTCTCGCTGTACGATTGCATTTGTTTTCTATACTCGTTTGGATGCATCAAAAAGGTTCCAAACGCCGTTGCTAGGCAGTTTCTGCCTTAATTTTGATACATACTCGTTAGAAGCATCGAGAAAGTTCCAAACGCCGTTGCTACGCAGTTTTTGCCTGGAATTTGATTATTAATACAATGGTTGCTCCATTATATCAGCACCTCCGAGGCAACATCACACGTGGCTAGGCCCGCTCCCGAGGCCGCATGCCGCCACAACCACATTTGTGGAAAAAACCATACAACCACTCCAGACCTCCGTTATGCACAACGTCCATCTTGTGACCGTGGCTACGTTCGGCGACCAAATGTCACCTCGAGCCCAGCACGTGTCTATCGCAAATCTCGAATAATTACAGCCATTATAAAATCTAGGCTAGAGTACTAGAGGATGTTCCCAAAATTTCGAGGGAAAGGCTTCGGCTTTCCTTTCATCTCCGACATATATATTTCATATATCTATCGTACGAAATAAACTAAAAAATCTTGCACGAAATATAATCGTATTTTCGCATTTTATGCTCGTACAAAGTTTTGTATATAATTGAATTCTCGTAAAACATGAAACTCACATTTTCTAAGAATGGAGAACAACAAATCGCATTAAATTTGTAAATTGTCTCACAAAACCGTGTCAAATCGTCATACGCAAACTTCTACAATGTTGTTAGAAAAGACTCACATTTTACATAATTCTTTGCACAGTTTTGTTTATCATTGTTACATCAATGTAAATTTGATATACATAGTTAAAATAAAAATTGATTTATCAATATTGTTTTGATTCATATATTCACAGAATGTATACTTAAAAATAGTTCAACCACTAGTATGGCAATAACCAAGTGACATATGGATACATCCGTCACATCTAACAAAAGTACGAGTAAGTGAAAGAAATGAAATGCATATTGTTGTCAGATTTTCGCAATGATATGTGTAAGAGATGATTAAACGCGAAATTCCAGCGCGTTATCCCGGTAATTTATTAAAATTTGATTCGATTATTACGACGAATGCTACTTTCAAATTTCAAATCACGTAACGTAAAGACTAGTCTTCTCTAAATTATTAAACTACTAAAGACCAGATAATTCCTAATAACTAAGACTACTAAAGATTCAGTATTATGTATTGAGAAAGAAGACACGTGCTTATGAAGGAAGAAAGGAAGGGGCACGAAAATAGTCGAACACGGTCGAAACTGATTCTGTAAGGTCGATCGGGCCGGTCGAATGGATTCGAGCGTTAGCGCAGCTTTGTTTGCTGGTGAGCTTCGTCCTGTTAAGACTGTGCTTGTTCCGTATTAGTTTCCTTCCTCTAAACTCGAAGTATCGAGTAGTCCACCTTTATATGTGATTTTTAATCGTGATAAATTTGGTGGAAGTCTTTTTCCGTCGAAGAGGTAGTACTTCCGGAAACAAATTGTTTAATATTTTAATTAACAACTACTTTTTAATTGCATTTTTATAAGTCGAAGGTACACAGGAGTTTGACATAGTCAAATAGAAAGCCCTGCCGATTGCATATCATATTTTTGACACTGTTTTATTTGACGTTAAAAGAAAATAGGGAAGAGTTGACAAGCACATACATGTATATATGCGATACTGAACCACGTGCGCAATACGTCAAGAGTTTCATCGAGTTGCTACGTGCACGTTAACAAGGTACGCATGTTCACATTTATTGCTATTGTTTCATTTGTGTCAGAAATAATGGAGTTAACGATACACAGTGTCCTGTTAAAACTTCCTTTTCCATCTACACGTCATGTTAGTTGAACAATTACCGCGCAAAAGTTGTTCTGTTATTTGAAGTTATTTTACTATACCTCTACATTATCATTAGTAGTATATAACGTATGACTAAGGTTCCTAGTATCTTTTGTATGTTTATCTTTTTTAACTACCAGATTAAGTAATACATCTTATCCGTGTTATTCAGCATTTGAAGTTCATATAGATAATTGATATAGTTTAATTACAGAGTATTTAAATTATAATTATAGAGTATTTAAAAAGTGTTATTTATTAACGTTTCAGCACCACGTATACTTACAGGGTAGTCTATATTTAGCAACTCGGAAATTTCCATATTGTATTAAGGATTCAGTTCATATTGTAAAAAATAATATCTTTTGCTTTGTACAAGATGAACAGAGGAAACGAATTATTTAACGCAGCTGATAAAGATAGACCCGATGATAGGATAAATCATCGAGATACATAGAAAACATAGGCATATATTTAAGAAACTGAATGTTTTCAACAAATTTCGAGAATACCAGTTTAATATCAAAGAGTTTTCTTGAGATAATATTAGCAATGATTATAAAACTGATGAGATTGTGGAATAAAAATTGACAAAAGTACAGCAGTTAAATACTTTTATGAAAAATTATATACCAAGTCCCCTTGTAAAGAAGGTAGCATGGTGATATACTTTCATGTTCGTTATATTGTGCTCGATCATACTTTCTATTTATTTTACGAAGGAGTAATGCTTTCCATGGCTTTCACGTTTTTTCTCCTTTTCACTTTTTTGTTTTATAAGATCGTTTGAGAAAATAGAATAGTTACAATTAAATAAAAACTACCGTAAAGTTATTGGAGGATAAATATTTTTGCTCAAGCTTGTTTCGTATTAAATGTTAGATAGAACGAAACCTTGTGCATCGTAGACTTAGGTTCATCAATATTTGGAAATCCAAGGAGTGTATTTTCGCAAATAATGGTGATACTTCATTTTATTTATCGTAATCAAATTGATAGTCTGTTTTATTCTGTACAATATCAAGATATTCTTGAGAGATAAGTTGACTAGCTGGACGGTACAAGAGAGATATACAAGCAAATACGTATCTATATTACCGCTCAAAATATCGGGTACTTGCTCATCTTTAACAGAATGTAAATAATGCAATGATTTTATACAGCTGTACAAGGTGGTTTAAAAATCCTTAAAATTTTTCAGACACTTCTAATAGTCGGACATTAAATGATTTAAACAAAAATTAATCGACTTTCAATTACTACAAATTGCAATATTAAGAATTTCGCAAAAGATTTTACTTCGATGAAAAGTCAAAGTCATCTCCATTTTTCTTAAACGGAACAACACATTTTTTTATACATTATTCGATACATTTTTTAATTCTCTAAAAAAAAAGCAAAGTATCAAAAGCAAAAAGTACAAAAGACCAAAAGGACCAAGGTAGTTGGATCGAAAAATGATTAGTTTAAAAAATATTCTAACTTCAATGTTTTTGTCAAAACTTCTATCAAGGAGAAAGAGACATAAAAACAAAGAAGTACTATACTATTATTCTTGTGATTACTATAGAATTACTATACTATTACTTGTTATTAATTTGTGTTATTAATTTGAACGGTAGTATACTCCTCGCACCGTTTAACTACTTTTGATTCTTTCATAGTTACATCAATTTATGCTATGTTAATATGTAGTTAATATATATATTATAGGCGCTGACCGACATTGCAATGTGATTTCTAGAATGTTAAAATTATATACAAATATATGCTTTGAGGTTGTAATACTTTTAGGACACTTGTCACACTGATAGCACAAATATCGAGGCTTACATAAGATTCATGTTTCATTCGTGACCTCTCATTTATCATTAGGAATACGTAATTAAAAATATGTTAAGATATCGATCAATGTCGACCACATTGAATAAGATGTTTTTCTATAACGACTAGATACAGGAAATTTATATTAGATGATTATAAATACGTTGTGGAAAATCTGAAATGACAGAGTAAATGCTTTCAACGATGGTTTAATAAGATCTACAATCAGTCATGTATAAAGATTAACTGTCACTGTTTTGAATCTGTAGTGAAAATACATATGCATATTTAATTATGTATAATGTGTTTAATTGTATAATAATATATATCTATATTTAATTGATATATTGATGTATTATTATTTTAATTTCTGTTTTTGTAATATATATTTATATGCGGGTACGTGGCTACACGCGTATATGTGTATTAAAATACTTATTATGCACACATATACTGCATGTTTTATTATGTACAAAATTTTAAATTCCATGCCAGAATTTCTTCTTATTCTTATTCTATATGCAGGATGTATGCTTTCATCCCTTTATTCATTTACAGCTTCATACATTTATATCTTTATACATTTATATATCTGTAAACATTTATGTACAGGTACATACCTAAGAAATTCTATTTTTTTTAGCACCGATTATTACTTGAAGCACTTATTCCACTGTTAGAAACTGCCTGTCATAAATAGGGACTCAGGGATTTTCTCTCCTTTTATCTTCTGTACCAGCTTATGTCGATATTTCATAAATGAATTCCCGTGCAGATCCTTAGGGCGACTCCGTACCCTCGACTCCCGGTGCTCATGGGGTGACCACTTGCAGAAGAAGTTTTACCAATTATACTGAACTGAGCACTACCCTTGTAAACTAAAATGTATAAACAATTAATGTTAAACCATGTTTCTACCTTGCCAACAATTCTCGTATGAGGAACTATAGGAGCCTCATCTCGAGTAGTTTAGAGTTAGTGTATCAGTTAGAGTTAGTTTCTCGCTAGTTACACGATACTTAATCCCATACTTCTTTATATCTGCAAGTGATACTTCTTATTCTTTACCTTACGGACTAATTATATTTAGCAGCCCTTATTTTACTGGTAAATACTTGTCAGCTTATCATTCCGGCGGTAAATAATCTTTGCTGCTACATCTCTCGAGCCTAGTGTCTTAAACAATATTCATATTTTAATTCGTATAATTATTCATAAATAAATGGCTGCGTTTGCACGTGACAATATTTCCAACAGCTGAGGAACATTGTTCAGACGCAGCGGACGTTGCTGATATCATTCAATCCTTCTTTATAATTGCTATTCTATTTCTAATCTTGCGATTGGTGTATATTTCATCGCTCGTGTCTTCCACTATTCATAAAGATCAAATATGCAGTATTCTTTCGTTATTATCTTTTAATGAGTGACTTTCTTTATAGAAAAGTCACAATTTGCAGTGGTATCAAAACATTCAGAAGGTATTCTACCCTTCTTAATTTTGTACAAGTTATAGCTCTTATGCTATAGTTGTATTTACGTTGACTCGATTTATTATTAAATTTGATGTACATGTATGTATGTATAAGTGGTCCAACAAGTTTGAAAATGTTCAATAACATTGAAGTGAAGTGATTTGATACACGAGCTGCTCTTCTTCTTGTCCTAACGCCTGTTTAGTAATGTCTCTAAATGTTCGCGTTTTCTGACTCTAATGAGGTGGCATTTATTGTACTTTGTGTACCGATGACTACAATGTTTTCAGTAATTTCTTTAGGGAGTATTTAGTTTATCAGCAAGACTTTGAGCTATGCGACGTTCTCCCGTTGTACGCAGTAGGTAAAGTTTAACCTTTTATGCTTCATTAAGAAATAATGATATGTTCACTACGTACAAGTGTATTTTTGTACGAGTCTGATAACGTATAGTAATTAATCTTGTAATATTCAAATTTTATACAATCGTAGGTATATATCCAAAGGCTTTGCCTCTGGCTTTGAATGCAATCAATGTCTTTTTTGTTTATCTATATCTGAACTACCTTTTTCCCTTTTCTTCTTTCATAAGATAAACTTGCATTAGTTTGTCCAATATTTATGAAAGTCGTCTCATCATTTAAATTATAATAGTTAATTATATACTGTACTTTGTATTTGGTAATTCATGAGCTCCAATATTTCATAAGAAGTTCATAAGAAGAAGCTCCTTTAGCATATATTACAAATGGACTTACTACTATTACGGTTTGTATATCTAAAATGGTCGGTAACAAATTATAGATGTAACTATCAGAACTGAAACAATTTATCGTATAATATATAACAGTATACTGGTTAATTAATAGTAATTAATAGTAACGGTTAGTAATAGTAATTAATAGTAATGGTTTGTACGAACAGAAATGATGTCTTACGTTGTTAGAATGTTACCGTTCTTGATGCATATCCTTTCAGCTTTTGTTTTTGTGATTAAATTTCATTTTTTCTCCTATTTTACATTTATTTGTTTTGCATATATAGGTAATTGCGCATAATTAGTTCAGTAAACGCATAGCTGTAGAAATTTATTGCTTACTTTGAAATTATTTTTATCTTTGAAATGTTAATTAAGTTTCCGAGATCCTGGGATTTAATCACACGTTGTAGCGCTATAAAAACAATCCATCTATTTATTATCCCGATTTTAAAAATATTTCCTCTTGGCATTTGCATTCCTTTCGCCATTGCTTCGTGTTGTTTCATTTTTCTCCCGGCTGCAAGTATTCGAATATCAATGTCAAAGCGGTACGGGCGGAATTTCGGTTTTGTAAAAAAAAAAAAAAATCGTGTCTCATTACACACATGTGGAGTGCGTAACGTAATTGAAAGTGTTATGGTTATGTGGAGCATTATTGACATGTGGAAGGAACGTTACCGTGTGACACTTTACTCACTCAATCCTTCACTTATTTTCGCTGAAGTTGTTCCTTGTCTTTTTTTCATGTTTACGCGATCTGTTAGGTATCTTCTTCCCTCAGTTGAAAAGAATAAACGGCTCTACCTGTCGATTTTACCGAATATTTTCTGTAACAATAAATAAAGAACGCTTTCGACAAACGAACACTTTCTTCAACTTCACCATACACGTGGTATCGTCTTCTTTATGGTAACTATATCTATCTTAGTTCCATTTTACATAAAGAGAGACTTTATACATTTTTTTTACCACGAGATATAGAAATATCTTAATGTCCTACCTTAAAGTTGGTCTTTGTGGAGAACACGTTGGAGAAATGTTGAATGTTTAAATACATTATTTTAATATTTTATATTCTTTTATCATAATCTTATTCATAATAACATTTTATGTCATTTCAAGTCGTAGGTAGGTATCAGAAACAAAAAACATGCTGACACATCTGTTCGAAATTCACGGCCGGTTTTGTGCTGGGCACCCCCTAGAAGTAATTGTGACGACCTTCACACTCACAGCATGCATTCTGAACATGGAGACCGGAAGTGGATATCCTCGAGATAGTAGAACTCTTCCTTTGGCTTTACATTGTCGGCCCGGTAGATGTAATTTGGATGTAAGCAGATTTCGAGTAAATTTCAATTGAATCTTCAAATTTGAGTCGAGAAATGTCTTAATGATGGAAATGATCGTTGTAAACCTCAAAATTGCTTACACAATATATGTAATATATGATTATTTATTAGGACCTAAATGCAGCTGATATTATAGTCATGACTATAATACGATGTCTAGCTATATTATTCACCTATCATCAGTTTCGCAATTTACAAAAATTGGGTTCAAAATATATTTTAGGTAAGTGAATATATATAAGTTTGATTGATATTTCGGAAAATTGAAGATACGAAATACGTGTTTAAAGAAGAATCTAGGATAATTATGTATTGGCCGATTATTCATATAACCGGATCTTTCCACGGTACGCGTGAAAGCTTTCAGTGTCAGAGAAAGTTTTATGGAAAGTAATATCGTTTCATTCCGTACGACACGCGATGACACTTAATTATTGAATTCGCATAACATTTAACCGGGAAAAATGCGCGAATTAATTTTAAGTAACAAAATAATAAATAGAATTTATTAGCAGATATTAATGATAATAGTAAGAATACTTGAATGTAATGTTTTGACAGGTATTGCCGGCCTATTTACAGTATTTTCTAGCGTTGTGTTCACGTCCAGCGTAATGAATTTCGGACGCAGTGATATTTCTGATTTAAAGTAAGTCTTATTCGGAATGGATCGTAAAGTCCAGAAATTCCTTTAATTTCTATTGTATAAAGTTATTATTTTTCAGGGATGCATTATTCTTCTTCTTGCTTGTTATCGATCTTTCGAAAGCCGCTATATTAGCACAATTGGCTCTAAGTTCCAGAAACAAAGAAGAAGTACGAGCAAATATTGCTCGCGGCATGTCGCTCTTAGGACCAACTATTACGTTAGATACTTTAGTAGAAACTCTACTTATTAGCATAGGGTCTTTATCCGGTGTCAAAAGATTGGAAATCCTGTGCAGCTTCGCTTGTTTAGGTGTTATTGTAAATTATATCGTTTTTATGACATTTTATCCTGCATGTTTATCACTTATTCTCGAGGTAATTTTTAGATTTCTGTGCTAATTGTTAAAATAGTTTTATGAATTGTACATTCTACCTCGTACTATTATTATATTTCAGCTTTCTCGTGAAACTAATGCTATGAAACCGTTAACTGCCGATAAGATTTTTATAATGCATCCATTAAACGAAGAGGATCAAAAGCCGAATCCGGTAGTAGAACGTGTTAAATTGATTATGATTGCTGGCCTATTTGTGGTACACGCTAACAGGTATTGCATTTTTGTTTTATTTTCTGTTTTCCATAATATATACGAGTCGTGTTTCCGTTTGAAATGAACTTTATGTTTTATACATCAGATAACAATAGAAAGAAAACTGACAAAAGTTATCACAAATCTGCCCCATACGATATGTATTTTTTTTTACTTGAGCATATTTCTTGTTTGACAGTTTCCTTATTCTTAACTTCCACAGGTCAGGTTCAACTTATTACACAGTAGCATAAATATACATTTGATTCATATTCAATGAATTGCAGAGAAGGAGATAGTATCTCCACGAGGTTTGGGTTTCTTTATCTCCTTGTATGTTAAGTTAGGAAACAGTGTATAACACTTCTGTGTCGAGTTAAAGATGATGATAATTATTAATATCTTTATAGTAAATTCAAGTGTTATCAAAATAGTACATAAAAATAGCGGCAGGTTAATCTATGTACATTATTGTATGTGGGAAGATACAATAAAATTAGATAATTCATAAGCTTAGGAAGTTACATCAATGTAATCGTTGACATAAGATATTTATTTATTTTAGTCGCTGGTCTTTCAGAAGTGACAAAAGCGAACCTACTGTAGAAAGAGAAGTATCTTCCGCGAATTCACATGTCGTAGTGAATTCTTATAACAAGACAGAGAATTCATCCGAAGTGAAGAATTATTTAATGAATTGGTTGTCAGTCAGTGCTGATAATATCGTGATATTGATACTCCTTCTTGCGCTCGCAGTTAAATTTATTTTCTTCGAAGATAAAGGAGACATCGCTAAACAATTACGATCCAAAGTAGAAGACGATACAGAAGAAAAAGTTGAAAATGAATGTGTGAAAGGAAAAGAAAATGAAAGTGAAGATGTGAATGTACTTAGCATCAAGCTGCCATTCAAGCAAAACTTTAGTAGAATGCAAAGTATCTCTTTTCTTTCTAACATACATAATTGGAGCGATGACAAGGAAGACCAAATAGACGAAAAACAATGTAATATAGATAAGCGGGACGATAAAAATCTGCCTCCAGAATCGAAAGTTCCTAGGTCCTTAAAAGAATGTCTCGAAATATACAAATCTGATGTAAGTAAAGTTATTATAAGTATATATATCCCAATTTATTTTTGAAAATATCGTTAATCTATATTTAATTTTTAAATATATTGTTAAATTCATAGCTTGGAGCAAGTGGGCTAACGGACGAGGAAATAATTCAATTAGTGAAGAATAAGCATATAGCCGCGTATCAGTTAGAGAAAGCAGTTGGTGACATGGAGCGAGGTGTTGGAATCAGACGTCTTATAATTGGAGAGGCGGGAAAATTTCTCGATACTCTCCTCGATTTACCGTACAAAAATTATGATTATAGTAAAGTATTAGGATCCTGTTGTGAGAACGTTATAGGATATGTGCCTGTACCGCTTGGAATTGCTGGCCCACTATTAGTCGATGGTGAATTATATCATATACCAATGGCTACAACAGAGGGATGTTTAGTAGCATCTACAAATCGTGGTAGTAGGGCATTGTTAAAATGCGGTGTAACAAGCCGCGTAGTTGCTGATGGAATGACTAGGGGACCAGTTGTGAGGTTTCCAAATATCGTTAGAGCAAGTGAAGCTATGGCATGGATGCAAGATCCTGAAAATTTCAAAGAAATGAAGGAGAATTTTGATTTAACTAGCAGATTTGCAAGGTTGACGAAGATTCACATACGCATTGCTGGCAGGCATTTGTTTATTCGTTTTGTGGCTACTACTGGTGACGCTATGGGTATGAATATGTTGTCTAAAGGTACTGAAAAGTCATTGAACACGGTAAAGGAACATTTCCCCGACATGGAAATATTATCGTTAAGCGGTAATTTTTGCACGGATAAAAAACCAGCAGCAGTAAATTGGATTCAAGGTAGAGGTAAAAGTGTTGTTTGTGAAGCAGTGGTCCCTGCAGATATTGTTACTAATGTGCTGAAAACATCAGTTCACGCATTAGTTGATGTGAATATAAGTAAAAATATGATTGGGTCCGCCATAGCTGGCAGCGTAGGTGGTTTTAACGCGCACGCTGCAAATATTGTAACCGCAATTTTTATCGCTACGGGTCAAGATCCTGCACAAAATGTTGGAAGTAGCAATTGTATGACTTTAATGGAACCATGGGGAGCAGATGGTTCAGATCTGTATGTATCCTGTACAATGCCCAGCATAGAAATTGGTACTATTGGAGGTGGAACTGGTCTTCCTGCACAAGGAGCATGTTTGGCTATGTTAGGTGTTCAAGGTGCACATACTGATCAACCTGGTGAAAATGCTAGTAGATTAGCTAGAATAATATGCGCCACAGTACTTGCCGGCGAATTATCATTAATGGCTGCTCTTACAGCTGGTCATTTAGTCAAAAGTCATCTTAGGCACAACAGGTATGTCTATAAATAAAATAATGGAAAGCCCTAAAAGTATAATATAAAATGAATAAATAAAACAAAATTTTATTTCAGATCATCTACCGCAGTAACAAATGCGATAAGTACTCCCCAAGATACTACAGGAATTAAACTGTCTGTGCCAAATATGTTACTGCCTGTACAAAATGTATGTAAGGAGTTCATAGAGAAGTCTTAACATTAATGCTATATAAATGAGTTCATCTTAATCTGTACCTAGAATACCTTGTATTGAACGGCTGGTTATATGTAATATGTAATATTTTTTGTGTACATGGAAGAGCATAAACCAAAAAACTAAATGACTAATAATTTGAACAAAAGTGCAACGATAGAAATTTTGAATCAAATTCAAGAATGGATCAAATATGCTAAAAGTTTGACTTTGTTGGAAATAGGATAGTATTTTAAATGTTATGAAATATGTATACTTAATTTACAATGAAATATAAAGTTGACAATGTTTGTATGAAGCTAATATGGTGAAATGATTATTTTTTTGTAGAAATAGTTATATTTTTACATAGTAGAATATTAATATTTAGCTGTAGTGACTTAGCTAGATTATCATTCAAAACATGTAGAATATTCAAAGTACAATCAAATTGTTTTCCATAATTAAGAAAAGTATATATATATATATCATTACAGTACTATAACACAAATAAAAATTATTAATTATATTTCTCGTTTTTAACTAGTTAAATGATAGAAACACTAGGAATACATTATGATGTATAAACTTTTATTAGTACAAAAAATAAATTTCAATTGAAAATTAAACAAGAGAGAGAAAATACATAAACAAATAAGGGAAGTGATTTTTTTATCCTTTTTTATTGTGTATGCATTTCGCGAGTAGTAAATAAATTTCTTAATATAAGAAACTCATATCTAAAAACACAATCCAATAATTCCTATAAAATTCATTATTATAAAATTTACATTTTTTCGTATGTTTCTTCATATCCACAAGTAACGCAAGTATGTGTATATGTATCATCATGTTCATTATATGTATCTTCTCCAAACTCGTGCATATGAGAAGCTTTTGATGTTTTATCATATAATGAGCTCCTGACTTGCATTCTTAACTGTTTAATCTGTACAATACAAAAATAGTAAGTTGGTAAGATAAAAATATCTATATTGTATTATTTTGTATTAAAGTACAAGTACGATATTACATTTGAAATACGTTTATCATTACCTTTTTGTTAAATTTTTTTATTTTAGCTCCTTCCCTCTTAACATCACGTAATTCTTTTTCCTTTAATAATTTTTCTTCAGAACCCCATACTTGTAAAGCTCTCTGTTCTATTTGTAGTTGCAAATACAATTTCATTTCACCCCAATTTGCATTATGGGGATTTTTTTTAGTAATACATTTTAATGGAGGTTCTCTTTTATCCAAATCACAATCTTTTAATAAATACTCTTGTTTTGCTTCTGTTTTTGTAATCAAAGAGTGCTTGCCCTTAGGATCTCTAATACAAAAAACTAATTATAATAATCTAAAGTTTTATATTAAAATAATTGCTAGTTCAAATAATGCTTGTATACCTGCAGTTATCACATACAGATAAATTAAATGTTTGTAGTAGATATGAGTCTTTAAATTCATTCTTACATTCATCGCAATGAGGAAAATCTACAAGAATAGGTGCAGGTTTTGATATTATTTGTAACTGAAAAGAAAGAAAATATTAGTTATGAAATCCAATTAATATTTAGTGTAATAACTATTAAAATAATTAAAAATGTTATACCATTTGTTGTTCTAATTCATCACTTTCTTCTATAAGAAAACCTCCTCCACTATCTATAACACGTTGTCCTTGAACTTTATATGATGTACTCTTTTCTGAATCTTCGTTCTCACTTTAAAAAAGTACAAATGTTTTGTTATACAATTTTTTATTTTTCTAACTATTGATATTGGCAACGTACCTCCTTATATAAGGATGAGAAACTATTTTAGATTTTCTTAATAGTAATGCTTTTTGACGATTTCGCTCTGCACGTTCTTTAAAGTGCTGACAATTTTCTATTAATTCTTCATCCTTTGATGGATCATTTACATTTAACGTAATAGACATTTTCGCAACTGTACAGAAAACTTTAAGCTGAAAACAAATAAAATATATAAAAAAATGGGCATTGTGTAATAATATTTTTTATGTCATATTCCTAATAACAGCAAGTACAACTTACATAACCTATGTATAATCCGACAGGTTAAGTATAAACTTCACTATATATTGAATATGTAACTAATAAAGCTAAAAGAAATGATCATATTTTATAATTATAATTACAATATAAATTTTTATTCTTATGTATGATAATCTTTCTACATTTTATAATATAATTAAACATAAATAGTGTTTTATAAAAAATGTAGCAAAATCAGATAAAATATATATAAAATGTAAGATTTTGATATATATTTAGCATTTAAAAACGTACTAGCTAATTATTGAACAATATGTACTTTAGTATGCATTTCACTTGTATATTTTGAACTTCAATTCTTTAGCTTATTTTGAAATAACTACCGGTAAATAATGGCAATCCGCCATTTTATCTTTTTAAGAATATATATATATATATATATTTAAACCAATTCTATATTCCGCGAAATTTAATTTTTTGAATTTAATTAACCAACTCGAACTTTACATAGCGAATTCGAAAAAGCGATTAATATTGTGTGTTAATTATAAGAAGTTGATAAAAATGATAGAATAGTGTTCTAAGTTCATTGCATGTTATAAGTTATTATTATGAATGTAATTGAATATCACGTTTGAATTTTAAATTAAACAGTCATGGCTGTGCGCGCATTTATACATTATTCTGTTCACTTGAAATTTTGTTGTAAGAAATGCAAAAAGAAATATTGAATTTTTGTAATACATGTAAATCAAGTCGAGTTCTACGTCGCAGTTTTTCAAGATATTAATTTATAAAGATGATTACACAAGGTAGGGATAAGACATTAACTATCAACATCTTTTTTGAATATTTATATTTCAATATACATATCACGCTTATACTTACAAATAACACATTGTACAAAATAAATATTCATAGTATGTACATATTAATTTTAAGGACGTAGATGCAAATCTAGAAGCTATTAGTTACTGTTTTCTTACCTCTTTTAAAAAAGTCTTTTACATTTCACGAATAAAAATATTAATTACAAATTTTAAATAAGTCATCTTTTGAACTTTTATCTCGTACAAGTTAAAATCATAGGAAGGAATGAATATATGTATTTATTTCCTCATTAGAAGTTCGCAACAAGTACTAAATGTAGATAAAGATGGTGGTATATCTTCCATTAATCTAATTATGCATAAGGCATGCGCTATATGCTTTCTTTTTTTTAATTCTTGTATAAGAATTTCTGCATTTTCCTTTACATTTGTTAGAGATCGATTCACAAAGACATGTTCAATGATTCGATCAAATATTTCGTGATTCGGATCGAAGTATGCCGTTAAATTTTTCAAAAATAACATTTCTAGTATCGGTGCTGACAATGTTAATTCCTAAAACATAAAATAACATTAATAGAAATGTGTAAAATAAAGGCATGAACTTGTTGATGTACGTGCTTGTACATACTTTATGTCTTTCCATAAGAATATTTACTGCTTCTTCGTGAAATTCTGAATTATCCATATCCAACCTAATATAAATTGCGTGCTCAAGAGGAATTTCTTCTGTGTTCAAAAATTCTTTGAGTACCTAATACAAATAAAAAAAATAATTAGTTATATTTAATAAATTGGTTATAATCTAATAAGTTGTATTTTAATAAGAAATTTACATTTGTTGAAGATAATGCTTCTATTAATTCTTTATATTCTTCAAAACTTTGTTTGCTATGTTTGTTTTTATCTTTTTCCATAATAAAGGTATTAACTAGTTTCATCATTTTTAAAATTGGATGTTTATTAACTTTTGTATATTGAGAATCTTTAAATTGTGGCCATTGTAATAACAATTTCTTTGCCTCATAAAAATGATCAGCATTCCTTATTTTACTAAATATTTTTTCAAAAACTTCAAAGCGATCTTTTTCTGTTGCACATTCCCCTATATCTTTTATTAGAGAAGTATTATTTTCTATACACAGTTCTTGATTTAAAATATCTTTTTTGTTCCCTACGTTTTCTATTATATCTTCATCTGAAAAGTTGCCCCAATTATCAGTCCATTCTATATCATTTTTGTCATTAGATTCAGATGAACTCATCTTAATTTTATCTTTCTCGTTACGTCGCGCATTTTCTGTCGAAATTTCTTCTTCTTTTGAATTTCCAGTAGATACACTTGAACTTTGTGTTTGAACAATATTAAATTCATCTAACTTTTTATGATCTTCAATCTTATCGTCGTTTTCCGTTTCAATGTCGTGATGTAACTCAAGAAATTCCGTCTTATTTATTCCGCAGCTTTTAAATAAACATGTTTGCCAATATTCAAATGGTTTATAAATGTCAGATTTTTTGCATTTGTAAGCTGTACTCATCGTTTTTAATATTAAACTCAATGGATCAAACAAATATAAATCTGTAAAATAATAATCTTTATACGTGGTTTTGTATAATTCCAAACAATAATAATACATTGAAGTTTGTATGTATAGCATTGTTTGTGGCAGTTCCATTAAAACATTGTGTATTTCCTCTATATATTTCTTATGTACACTAAATAAATATGCCATGCCTAGTAACCAATCCTGTTGTATAGTATACTTTGTACACTCTAAAAATACTAAAATAAAAAAAGAAATTATTATTTATCCAGTATTTAACTTATATACATTTCCGTTTAGGTGAATACATAATACTTACAGTGATTAATATCACTCACTTCCAAACCATAACAAAATGTTTCATTCAACATAGTTATCCTCAAAAGAGCACGACAGCATTTGAGCTGCGTATTTTGCAAATCTGGCATTGAATAATTTACGTATTTCGTGTCGAGTTCACTAAGTTTACAATTTTTATGTAAATCTTCATAAAAACATGGGAAACTTTGTATGTCATCATCTTCTATAGGATTTTCATATCTTGTGTCATTATCCTGATTATTTGAGAAATTAAATTTTAATCTAGATTTCCAAAAATTTGTGTCGCTTATATTTTTTATTAAACTAAATGCTGAATCTTTCATAACATTTGCAGAAGTTTTTACTATCTCAGTAGAAGCTTCCAAAACTTTTGGGACAAATTCTTTAGTTTCTATTTGCGGCTGTAAATTGACAATATTTTAGTATAGTTTTTCGTTAGAGGTAGTATTTTTTAATGAATTTCTTACAGTTGTTAATGCATCTATAAATTCATCTTCACTATCTGCGTCTTCACTATCATTGAAATCATCAGATAGTAAAGCAGAAGGTATCCACAATTCCAAATTTTTATGTAACATTTGTATTTCTATTAAATATATTTGATCTAGTGCTTTGCTTAGCATATCGCTAGGTCCATTGTTTATTGCAAACCATAAACATTTTTGCCTAGTTTTCAGATCTTCGTAATCTCCACAAAATCCTAATTCTAAAGCAACTGTCCAGGCAGGAATATAGTTATTTTGCATTAATTGCTGACAGGTAGCAGCACAAACATTAAAGTCCTTTACCTATCATATTATATTATAGATCAATTATCTGCAATTAAATATTAAATACTAGCTTCAAAATAACTCTACCTCAAGTGCTTTTTTTGCAATTAACTCCAAAACCTTTCCTTCCCGCATTCTAC